GATCCCTCATTCCCCATGTCTGATCCCACATTCCCCCGTGCCTGATCTGATCCCACATTCCCCGTGTCCGATCCCACATTCCCCCTGTCCAATCCCACATTCCCCACACCTGATCCCTCGCTCCCCGTGCCGCAGCTGCGCCAGGAGGTGGTGGTGTGCATGCGGCGGGACACGGCGCTGGAGACGGCGCTCAACGCCAAGGCCTACAAGCGCAGCAAGCGGCAGTCGCTGCGCGAGGCCCGAATCACCGAGAAGCTGGAGAAGCAGCAGAAGATCGAGCAGGAGCGCAAGCGCCGCCAGAAGCACCAGGTCTGCCGGGGGCTTTGGGGGGATTTTTGGGGGGGATTTGGGATGGGGGGGGGGCGGTTGGAGGTCGGCTCTGGGTGGGGGGGTGGGTGTTGGGACCACCCAGTGAGCTTTGGGACCCTCTGGGGCACATTGGGATCACCCAATGACTTTGGGATCCTCCAGTGCCTGTGGGGGGACTCTCCAATGACCTTGGGACCACCCAATGGCTGTTGGGATCACCCAATGACTTTGGGACCACCCAATGGCTGTTGGGATCACCCAATGACTTTGGGATCACCCAATGACTTTGGGACGCTCCAAAACCTGCTGGGGACTCTCCAATGACCTTGGGACCACCCAGTAACTATTGGGACCCTTCAGGGACTGTTGGGATCACCCAATGACTTTGGGACCACCCAATAGCTATTGGGACCCTTCAGTGACTGTTGGGACCACCCAATAGCTATTGGGACCCTCCAGTGCGTGTTGGGACCCTCCAATAACCATTGGGACCCTCCAGTACGCATTGGGACCACCCAATGACTTTGGGACCACCCCACGACCGTTGGGGTTTTCCAACAACTGTTGGGACCCTCCAGTGGTTGTTGGGACCACCCCATAACTATCGGGATCCTCCAACGCGTGTTGGGATTCTCCAATGACTTTGGGACCCTCCAGTGACTGTTGGGACCCTCCAGTACGCATTGGGACCACCCCATAACTATTGGGACCCTCCAGTGACTTGGGGACCACCCCACGACCGTTGGGGTTTTCCAACAACTGTTGGGACCCTCCAGTGGTTGTTGGGACCACCCAGTAACTGTTGGGATCCTCCAAAGCGTGTTGGGATTCCCCAATGACTTTGGGACCACCCAATGACCGTTGGGACCCTCCAGTTCCCGCTGGGACCCCCCCGGTCACCGCCGATCCCCCCCAGCCCCGTTTCCAACGCCCCTATCCCGGTGTTTGTGTTCCCCCCCCCCGCACCAGGAATACCTCAACAGCATCCTGCAGCACGCCAAGGACTTCAAGGAGTACCACCGGAGCGTGAGCGGGAAGATCCAGAAGCTGACCAAGGCGGTGGCCACGTACCACGCCAACACCGAGCGCGAGCAGAAGAAGGAGAACGAGCGCATCGAGAAGGAGCGGATGCGGCGCCTCATGGTCGGGGAAAGGGGGGGGATGGGGGGGGATGGGGGGGGATGGGGGGTCAGGGGGACCCTCCTCGTCTCTGTGGGGTGAGGGTGAGGGTGGGGCAGGATCAGGGGGACCCTTCCTTGTCTCTGTGGGGTGAGGGTGGATTGGGATTACGGGGGACCCTCCTTGTCTCTGTGGGGTGAGGGTGAGGGTGGGATCAGGGGGACCTTCCTCGTCTGCTCTGTGGGGTGAGGGTGAGGGAGGGCACACTGGGGTGTCCAGGATGTGCTCTGGGTGTTCCCAGCTGTGTCCCAGGTGTGTCCCAGGGGCTCAGGGTGGATCCCAGGTGTATCCCAGGTGTGTCCCAGGGGCTCAGGGTGGATCCCAGGTGTATCCCAGGTGTGTCCCAGGGGCACAGGGTGTATCCCAGGTGTACCCCTGGTGTTCAGGTGTATCCCAGGTGCATTCCAGGTGACCCCAGGGCTCTCCCCAGGCTGAGGATGAGGAAGGGGGGTGTTCAGGGTGTACCCCAGGTGTATCCCAGGTGTATCCCAGGTGTATCCCAGGTGTATCCCAGGGGCTCAGGGTGTACCCCAGGTGTATCCCAGGTGTATCCCAGGGGCTCAGGGTGTATCCCAGGTGTATCCCAGGTGTATCCCAGGAGCTCAGGGTGTATCCCAGGTGTATCCCAGGGGCTCAGGGTGTACCCCAGGTGTATCCCAGGGGCTCAGGGTGTATCCCAGGTGTATCCCAGGT